CCGACCCAACGATTTTATCCTTTTTGACATAACTTTTTCTGAGATTTGGCTCACTTCTGAGTAGGGATAGGGAGAAACTTCTCCACGCTACCCCTCCTTCCTTGGTCATCACTTTTTATGAAAGCTGAAAAATATGGAATGGCTGTCTATTGAGAAAAAACCTTTGTAAACGAAGTTTCTTTCGGGTCCGGGTGGGCTCGAACAATATTCGGACTACTTTGGGCCGAGCCAGATCATAAAAAAAGTGGCCTGCTTTCTAGTGTATCAAAAGAGAACAAACATCTTGTCTAAAAAACTTTCCGATCACCTGTTAATATTATTTATGTATTAAAAATATTAATTTTTTTGTTTTTCTATATAGACCAATTATTTTTTGTTTCGATGCAGAAGAATTCTATTTTGATGGTACTTTTGTATTTGCTACTATGGCAAATCGAGAAGGTGAAACTGATATATCATTCAATATGACTCAAACAAGTGTAAAGTATGAATATAAATTTATTTGATAAAAATTTCGATAAAATTATTCTTCTAGTGATACTTCAACAATGGATGAAGATGATCTTGTATCTTATCGACAATATACAATAAATACAACTGGTGTCAATCGTGGAGGAAAAAAACGTCCTGCACCATCAACATCACCAACATTAGAAACACAGATAAATCCAATTGATGAAGAATTTAATATTGATGAAGATAATATATCGATTGATCCTAAGCAACGAGTAAATTGTTCAGAAAATATAATTTCAATTAAGTTAAAAAAAAATAAAAATTTATAAATTTTCGTTTGATAGATAAGTACGACAAATCATAAAAATACTACGACTACAGCATTTGGAGATACAACATATACAGTATTGAGTCAACAATCAATTGTTGGATTACAACAATCCGAAGATTTCATGGCTGATATGACTGATGATGAAGATGAAGAAAACTAAAAAAAAAAGATAGTTTTGATTAATTTTTTGTATGTATGCATTATAAACCAGAAAATTCTGTTAAAAACAGTTTAAAAAAAAAGTAATAAAATCTACTCATCAGTTGATCTTTTGAACGAACTATTTATCAAGAATTTAACTATTTTCTTTGGACAATATTGATATAAAAATATTTAAACTAATGACATATGAAATGAAATTTTATACATATTATTAATAGAAAAAAATATTCAATTTATTTTTTTCATTTGTTATATAAATCACAGGAATAGATTCTTTTTATCAGAATCAAAATTCTTACTGTCATAAACAAATTGATAATGAATCAGAAGAGACGTGAGTGTACGTAATCTAAAAAACAATAAAAGCTAATGTTAATATGAAATCATGATACTATTTTAGGCAGATAATTTTGACTAGCTCGAATAGCATATTCAAATTACATGTTAGAATCAAACATTTATTGCTTCGTCTATACAAGTAGAAGGTTCGTTCGTAGAAAAACATATACATTAAAGATGATATACATATAACACAACCAATAAGTTAAAATATGAATAAACATTTATATTTTTCGATTTATGTAAGTCAGATCTATTTGTACTGACAAAAAAAAAACTCGATGATTTATTATAAAATGCTTTTGAAAATGATGATTAAGTATGTAATAACATATAAACAGAAGGATTAAGCCTTTTCAAGTGTCAATCAACACATAATAACTACCGAAATAGCATCGTCATGATGTAAAGAGAAGAACATATTTTTCCATAATAATGATCTTATCTATTTTAAAACATATATACGGAAAACAACAATAACTAACTGCCCAACTATACATCAAACAAAGAAAAACCCAAAAAAAAATGACTTTCAAACTAAAGTTGATAAGAAATTTCAATGAACATATAATTTTGTTTTTTGAAATCAGAAAGTTTTGCTCATGATAACGATATTATAGTTGAAGCAGAATCGATTCTAGCTAATTCACATACATCTTATAAATGTTCTAGTCGATTGAAAACCATATTAATAGATCGTTTTACTATGATGCAAATGTTAGACATTTATTATATAGTATACTCTGGAAGGGTGAACATCTATTGAGGTGTAACATAAGTTCTGAGAATTTTGTTCTGTTCAACAAAAAATTTATTTTTCGACAACCTTCGCACATCTTGCTTGCAATTGTTCAATCCTATGTCTGTAGAAACTAGACGGTTGTGATTCGAAAAAGGCAGTAAAGTCGAATTTGATCTCATGCAAGTCTTCATATCATTTGTCATATAAATACTTTCGAAAAGATCGAAACAAATGATAATTGAATGGTGCAAGGTACAAGTTCAAGAACTTCTCATCCCAATTGTCTAATTTGATTTTGAGTGAAATTTACAAGGTATGGTCTTCCATTATCGTGCAAAAGAATGACGTTATTCCGATTTGCGAAGGCTGATCACTTTTGAAGTAGAATTTCATGTAAATGCTGCAACTGTTGAAAGTAAACATCGGTGGTAACCATTTGATTAGTATCTAAGAGCTCGAAATAGATTACACGCTTCATATGTCATCAAGCACACAACATTGTCTTCTTTGAGTGTAAACCTGCTTTTACGTACGGTAATGGTTTCTGGTCAGGATCAAGCCATTGCTTTCTACGACGAAAGTTGACGTAGCAGATCCATTTTTTTGTCTTCAGTAATGATTCATTCCAAAAATGGATCATGGTTCTGTTGGAATAATAACGAACCACAAGTTGATACTTGCTGAACCAAGTTGTTTGTGGACAATTGTCATGGAACCCAGTTTCCGTACTTATGGACCTTGCCTAGAGCGTGAAAATAATGATCCACTGTCACATGAGAAAAGTTGAGTAGAACGGTCAATTCATAAATTGTTTCATGTGAATTAACATGAAGTAAAGTCTCCGACGCTTCGTCGTCAAATTCCACAGGTCGCCCTGACCGAGCTTTATCCGTCAAGATGGTCTCACCGGAACGGAACTTGGCAAACTAACGGTAACACCTGGAATTGTCGGCGGCTTCCTTGTTGCTGCCGCTACCGTTGACCCTCGATCAAACTCGTACAGCATACAATAACGAATATGAATTTTTCGATCATCAATTGTATTTGTAACAGGTAGACGCTATCTTCTTTTTTTATATTCTCTCAAGTCAATAAACTTAATATTGACCGTGATTGACCTTTGCACTTTCCATACGAAATTCAGTATGTGACTCATATTATTTAACTCATGACGTGTGATGTAGGGACATTAACTTTTGTTTTTTTTCTGTTTTTTTTCCTTTGCTTTTGTGTAATGTATACTCCTTTTCGTTCTATAGAGTATTCCATTGTGTCACTCTATATACCTATATACATTGTGCGTTCTTTGTGTTATTATTTGTCAATAGTTTTTTGTTCGTTTCTTTCATCATCTATTCTTCTTTGTTTCTGTTCTCTCAAGTCAATAAACTTGATATTGACCTTTTTCTTCGTATTATATAATTCAATACACGACATAATGTAATGTCAAGAAAAATTTAAGTGATTTTTGCACGAATATTCTAAACTCTCAGAACTTATATTACAATCCAATATTTTTGTGTACACAATAGAACCCTCGGATTCGGATCCGAGTCTGAAACTTTTGTTTCGACCAGATTTGGATCCAAAAACTCGTGAACCCGATGGAGTCTAGTGAATAGATACGTTGCGCGTGATATAATGACTACAAAACCTCGGCAGGAGTAACCTGATCTTTGGCGAAGCGGTACCCATATCGTACATTTGTTCACGCTATCGTCGATATAGCACCTATGTGAGGATCTCAGTTAATTATCAACTTCTTCTGCTCGCGCGTTGTACGTAAGCCGAAAGATAGTTATTAAAATCTCTGACCTGTGTGGGACTAGATGACTCACGTAAGATACACTTCCTACTGGAAACTTGTCTATTCGAAATATGAAGACGTAGAATCAGTATATAAGTTCATCAGTTTGTTTATTATAAATATATATATATATTTCACCGGAGAAAAAAAGTAAGGAAAATCTGTATGTATATATAAGAAAGACTAATCATCATAGACTACATGAAAGATGATGACAAAGACCAATTTACTTAAGCGCTCGCGGCGATATAATGTCACCTGTTGATGCTAACAGCCTATTATACTGAAAAGTCTACCAACAGTTTTTGTCCGATTCGAATCGCATGAGTGCTTCTTCGACTTCCACGCTTGTACAGTTTATCTTTTCTAAGATTTAAATTCTAATTGATACTATTAGATAATTTTTTTCTCTATTGGTTTGTAACTATAGCTAGTTAATTATTAGAATTCTTAAATTGAAGCACGAGTCCTCACATCGAAAAACAAATTTTCGTAGAAAATAAAACATAATGGTGATTCATAAAATTACGAAATGTTTTCTTTTTAATGCAATTTTATCAGTCATTTTTGTTTTCATATGTTTGACTAAGTTGGAAATTTCAAGATGTATTGCGTATATATTTAACTATTTCGTATATTGATTCACTCTTCATACTTTTATTGTGACAATAATTATTTATTGGATATAGAATGGTAAAAGATGGAATATTAATCGATTGGTTCATTTGAACTAAATAGACACATATATATTTACCATTGATTATTAATATCTTACTCATTTTGAATATTATCAATTTAAAATAATATTAAGTAATGTTTTATTCATATTCGGATAGTAATTTCATTGGTTCTAATAAGATCAATTGCGTCGAAAGAAAAAAATAAATTCTGCCTTCTCGAAAGAAAAAAAAATGTTCTATGAGTCATCATCAAACATCTGTGTATATGTGTAGTTGTATAGTTTATTTAGCTTGAAATGAATGATTCACTAAAGAAACGAATAAGAATGTTATAATTTGCGTTTGTTGAAATATTAAAGACACCTGGAATGAATGAGCAAATATTTTCAAATCTATTTTGCATGATCAAACTTTTCATATAATTTAATTTAAAAATTTATTATTTGGATACATATAAAAACGATGTTTTTCAATAACAATTATATGCCACAACGATCATCTAGTGAACAATGTCTTGCAACATCGGCACCACCAAATGTTGGTCCATCTCAAATTTTACCATTTCTTTATTTGGGTTCACAGGAAGATGTTTTATCGTCTAAAGCAATGCAGGTAAAGATCAACAAAATTTTTTTGTTTCTTCTCGTTTTCACATGTGTATGTGTGTGTGTTCTGTTATTTTTCGTTTTCTATAGGATAATCATATAACACATGTTATCAATGTAAGCATATCAGGACAGCGAGCACCTTTTCTTGATGAAAACAATGATGAACATTTTCTTCGAATACCTGTTAATGATTGTCTCAATGCACAATTATTACCTTATTTTGATCAAGCATTTAATTTTATTGGTAAATTTGACTTATCTTTTTGTTGATATTTCTATAGCAGGTGTTCCCTTCTTATGGAAAATATTCCATCATGTAATATGATGATATCACGTGATGAAATATTTTTCATGAAGGGAGAACACCAACTATAATGTTACCGTGTATTCACGATGTAACACCTGCTATAGACAGATCGAAAAGATACAATTTATTTATTTTTCTGTTCTTTTTTTAGAAAAAGCTCGACTTAATAATGGACGCGTATTTATTCATTGTTTAGGTTTGTCATTAGTTTTTAAAGTTTTCATATATATATATATAAATTTCTTTTTTTAGCTGGTATTAGTCGTTCACCAGCTCTAGCTGTTGCTTATATAATGCGTCATTTAAATTTATCTGTTGATGATGCTTATCGATATATAAAAGCACGTCGATCACATATATCACCAAATTTTAATTTTATGGGTCAATTATCTGAATATGAACGTAGTTTACCAACATCAACAAAATTATCAACAACAATACCAATAATTAAATGTATAACAATAGAACCACCTTCAAATGATCGTCGTCGTTTTATACAAATTGAAGGAAATAATTCACTTAAACGTGAACATAATAATGATCAACCAAAAAGTTTATCACGTCCAAAATGTTTTAATTTTGATTTGGTTAATACACGTCGACCACAATCATTATTATCACCATCATCTGGTATAGCTAATTTATCTGTTGAATCACCACAACCACAACATACATCATTACCATCAAAATTATTACGTCCAAATAGTATAACATTAAAACGTTCATCACCAACAGATGAATCTTATCAACCGTCAGAATTAATTAATAGTACTTGTTATAATAATGAATTAAATTTAACAAATAAACGTGTTAAAACATTACCACGAAGCACAGATACATCACCATTATTTGAAAATAATGATTTAATAAATACATTTTTTGAAGGAACATCAACATTATCAAAATCACCTAATCGATCGAATTCAACACAATCACTTGATTTAGCTACTGAATCAACAACAACAACAACAACATCAAATACAAATAAAAGTCGAACGAATTCATTAAGTTCAAGTCGCGAATTACTTGTTTCATAGTAGTTAGTGTTAATTATTTTTTTCTTCTTTCATGTATATTAATTAAGAATGTTATGGCTAGGAATAGATAGAGTAGCTTTATATAGATAAGAATTATTGAATTTCTTTTTTTTTTGTTTTTGTTTTTTGATGTTGTTGTTTGGTGTCTGTGTATATATTTATATAAATGATAAGATTTCAACCTTTCTGTTTTTTTCTCTGATGTACTTTTAATGTTGTATTTAAGTCATATGTTCTCATTGTTGTTTTTCTTTTTGAATATTAATGGTTTTATTTTGTCTTTATCTGTGTGGTGTGATGTTGTGCCCGTATGTATATTAGCGTGATATCACGCAATGAAAAAAATTTAATTTAAAATAATAAAAACAACCAAGCAAAGGTAAACTCATTGATGAGTTTCAATTGAAAAATTACTTCATTTTTTTGTTATGAAAATTATACTAAATTTCAAATGTGTTTCTTTTTTGAAAGAGGTAAATTTCTTCTATTTAATAACACTGAAATTAATGTCAATTTCAATGCAAGTCATGGCAAGTATTATATCTTTTTCATTGGAATGTAGGGAAGGTCATGACATTGATCATACATTTTCAATTTAGTTATATGTCACTATAAAGATAAACATTAAGATTAAAATATATATGGACTTTATAATGAATTAAATAGCTCATTTATAGTTGAATATCGATTATATGATTACTAACTTACGTTCATATTCAGCTTTACTTTTAATTTATATAAATAAAATGATTTAGTGAATAAAGATGAGCTTTAATAAATAGATAAAACTGACATATCAAAAGTTGAAATTATGCACATAGTTTATAGCAAATCGATTAAGTTTAATATTGATGGTTATTTTCATTAGATTTTACCATCTTTTAATTTGTAATTAACATCTACTATGGCATTTTAAAATATTTTATTATTATATTATTTTCTATGATTTAGTTAGCAAATATTAGTCTTATAAAGATAAATTTCTATTTAACAACGTTATATGATATCATAGATCATGCTTTTTACATTTGTGTATATGTCTAGCTAAATTAATGCAAATGTATAAAGTAACTCAAAAGTAGATTGACCAATAGGTTTATTTTTTTTTACCACTAATAAATGAATGTTTATAGTTCAGATACATAGAAACAAAAAATGAAGAAAAAAACTATATTGAAATATTACTATTGACTTAAATGAACAAATTATATTTTTTTTGATCTCGAAGAGCTAAATAACCTGTCCAGCTAAAATGAATCATGCTTAGTTAAAGTTGAGTAGAAGATTTATCGAATACAAAACAATTTTTTTTTTGTTAGATTTTTATATATTCTATATCGATGGATGTCATTCATTTTGAATAATGGTGAAAATACATCAAGCAAAATCAAGAATTTTTTGTGCGGAAAAGACGCTTTCTGTTAGGTTAGGATGGGCTTACTACACAATGAGCCTCCCGCTGAACTGAAATGCTACGTTCGCCACTAGAATATGAGCTGTTTTTTTGCATAGCTTTAATGAAAATGGGATCCTTTGGATGAGTGCATTAATACAACTTTCTATTCTTGTCTAAATAAAATGAAAATTTTAGTTAAACTAGAATTTTCATATATCTTGCAGCAGTGTAAGTTTCACCTGTTTATTATATTGAGTTACTAAGTTATGACAATTCAAAGGTCAAAAATAGATTAGTAAATCACAGGGTGGACCGGTTGTAAAGAAAGCAACGAAAGTTACTTTATTAAAATAATTAGTAGTTCTCACCTATATCTCTTTTTCCTACACTTCAATATTAATGTAATTATTAATAGTAAGGAGTAAAAGGTAATATATTAAGTTATGTTTGACAGATAGCAATGAACAGTATTTAATGAGAATAATCGTAGAATTTCAATAAAGTTTTTATCAACGTTGTTGTTTTTCATGAATATTCGTTTATTAATGATCTAAACATCAACTCATTTGGTTTAAATATAATGAAAAATTTAATTTCAGTACAGGCATAAATCTTATTGATATTTCATATCACTGACAAATTCAGAATATTAGTATGGATGGAGCGTTTCAATGAAGGAAACGATCAATTATAGTCAAAAAAAACGTGTTTTGAAATTCATTAGAGGTAGTATTAGCTCATTTATGGGTGTCTTCTGCTCGGTAAAAATATTTTCTAAAAGAAGGTACGATTGCCTTTTTAATCCGCCATTACACAACATATCACAATGGCAGCTGTGTTTTTTCTTGTATCACTCAGTTTAATAAAGAAATAAAATAAAGCTTCTAAAAATTTTCAATACGAATATGGATTCCATTTGTACATAGAAAAAATAAATATGATTCCTTGCTAAAAAAAAAAATGTTTTCAATAGCATTCTTGTATCATTGAAACATCGTATTCAATCGCGCTGCTTTTATTGGTTTTAGTAATATGTAAACATTGAACTGGTATTAATTATAATTGATCGAATAAAAAAAAACACAGGAAGACAATATTGACAAATTTTTAATTGCTATAAAAATGATCAAAGAAAGGGCGACGGTTTGTAGGGAAATTAGCCCAATTGAATTTTAATGATGTATTCGTGTAGAAATAAAGAAAGTGATAACAGAAACTATAGCTTATATTTTTCAAATGATTTTAGTCTCTATAAGAGGATCCTGAATTAACAAATCTTACACGTGTTACTTAATGCAAACGAAGCGAATTATATATCGATAGATAGGGCTTGAAAAAATTCTATAAAAGCCATTTATCAAAAATGTAAAAAAAAACAAGTTCTTGTTGAATACCATTAAAATATGGTGTTAGCATCGAGTATAAATCATCTTTTGCACGGAACTACATCTTACTCACTCTGAGTTTTATACCGACTGATAGAGCTTTTCCTGGGCTACGAATGCACGTATAATTTTTGTCATGAAAAACAACTGTGAACATATTTTGAGTTAAGAAAGTTTTGTTCGAATAGGCAAAAATGACATTTTTTGGTTGGTATTCGGTGGTTTCGGCCGTAATAATTATATTTTCAATTACAACAGATAATATATTCGGAATGGGTATATAAAATCGCGTCGATCTATGTATGTTTCAAACTTTTTTGAGACAGCTCTGAAGGGTCGAATTTAGACTCAAAACAAAAGTCATCAAAAAAGTTTGAAACATACATAAATCGACATGGTTTTATATACCGATTCCGAATATGTTATCCGTTGTTGTGATTGAAAAGATGATTATTACGACAGAAATCACTGAATATTGGCAAAAAACCGCTGTTTTTGCCTATCCGGACACAAAACTTTCTTCACTTCAGACATATACGCAATTTTTTTCTCCTGGCAAATTGTATATAGGTTTGTAGCTCATGAAAAGTTCTATCAATTAGTATAAAACTCAAAACGAGTAAACCCTAATTCAATGCATAGGATGGTTTATACTTGATGTTGGTGCCATATTTTAATGACATTCAATAAGACCTTGGCTTCTCTTTTTACATGTTTGATGAATGATTTTTATAGAAATTTTTCAAGGCCTATCTATCGCAATATAATTCGTTTAGTTTGTATTGAGTAACAAGTACATACGCGATAAGAAAAATGTATAAGATTTGGTAATCGAGGATCAGTCTGTGTTAAATAAAATCATTTAAAAAAATATAAGCTACAGTTTCTTTTCGTTATTTCTACACGAACATATCATTAAAATTCAATTGAACGAATTTTCTCACAAATCATCACTCTACCTTTGGTCATTTTATTTTGTTGAATTTTGTCATGAAATTGTTAATTTTTAAAATATTTCTCACTATCTAATAAAACTAACAAATTTCCTAATGTTCGACATGTTGGTTTAAGTGTTATTTCTTTAAATGCGCTCAATGCTCGTTTATCACGTCGAATAGCAGCAGTAGGTGTTGTATTTGGTCTTGATTGAGATTTATTTTCAACTTGTGTTCTTTTGATATTCGGTGGTGCAGATTGATTTCGTTGCATTCTAACCGCATGAAATGACATTGGTGTTTGCATTCGAAAATTATCTGTTAATTCAGTTGGTGAATCATGTAATGTTTCATATATTCGTTCAAGTTGTAAACGTTTCCAATAAATTTCTCGATCATGTTTTCGTCGAATCACTGTTTCTTGTCGTTTAAGTTGATTTAAACGTAATTCAAGTTGTGTATTTTCACGACGATTTAAACGTATAATATGATCACTTAATTCAATTAATCGAAGTGATTTCTAAAATGAAGAAAAAAATTCTTTTTCTTTTTTTCTCTTGTAACAAAAATTTTTGCTTTTTTCAAACTTACTAAACGTTGATTTTTTGTTGAACTTGGATCTTCTAATTCATATACAGCAGCCATTGTATGTTTGTTTAGAAATAAATATTGATAAATTGGAAATAAAAAAGAGAAAGAGTAAGAAAAATTTAAGCAGCTTAATCTATATTTTGAAACGAACAGAAAAAAAAAAGGAAATTTTTTTGTAGTACTTAATTGACACGAATGGGTTCTTTGTTTTCTATTGAAACATATCACATCATTACAGAAAAAATATAGCTACAATAAAAAAAACCTATTGGATGAATCATGATAAATTGTTGCATTTGTTTCTTTCTTGAGAACAGTTCAAAATCTGTTTCTAAGTTTATTCAATAGAGTTAATGCATCTATATTTTATTTCTTTTTGCAAAAATATTCTCTTAATTAATAAAAAAAAAAGATTCAGATCTACAGTACTCGCCATCAGTGGCGTATCTAGGATTTTTAGACCAATGGGCAAACTTCTCTAGTGTTGGAAAAAAATGATGGGCAAAATGGGCGAGGCTTTTATCGATAGACCAGAAATTTTCTTGGCCCAAAAAGTACTAATAACGTAAAAAAACCCACAAAAAATGAAGTTCTTTTAACCAGATATGCATCAAACTCGAAGCTCAACTCTAAGTCGGATGTGCTTTGGATATTTTTAAGAGAGAGTCCGCGAGAGAAGACCCCTACTCAATGCAAAGGTCGCCGGAGAAAAAAATATTTCGATTTTTTTATCTCAAATGAAATGCCTAGGCAAACCATAAACAAATCCAAAATATTAAGTCATTTGGCTTTATCTATGAAAAATGCGAGCTGAAACAAGTTTAAGAGGATCATTTTTGACCTCAAAAACTGCTATTCTGAGGATATGCTCAGTATTTTGATATTATCTCACGAACGGCTCGACTGTTTGAACTCAGAAACGTCTCATTTTATAGAGAACAGTTTAGGATACAACTTTATCTGATTCAAGTCCTAGACATATAAGCTGATAAAAACGCCATCGGTCAAAACCTGTCCAAAACGCGAGAAATGGCTTGTTCCGGATGGTCCGTATTTTGGAGTTTTCTCCCGTACTGTACATAGTCCTAGAGTTCTTTTTTCACCAGATAAAGATTTCACCAACATACATCTTTTGACACTAAATTGTCAAGCTCAAAAGGCCGAGTGGGGGACCAAGTTAGCATGAGCCACAGTGTAGGCTACCCTATCTACTGACCATAGGGCATACCTCCTACAAATTTCTCTAGAAATCATGAAAACTGTCTTCAGATTCGTGTTCAGCTCGCAAAATTGGGTCATTTAGGTTATTTTGAAATGATCTCTTACTTCTATCAAGCGTGATTGAGATCGTAAGTTCCCCTATGGACATATGATACACCTCCGGACAAAAGTCTTTCCCCCTCTGTGTTTTTATGCTATCATACTTTGCATGAAATTTATTGCCAAGATATAACATGAGAGTTTTATTGGAGTATGGTGTACAGATCACACTGTAATAAAACTCTCATGTTATATCTTTACTTGGCATTAAATTTCATGCAAAGTATGGTAGTATAAAAACGCAGAGGAGGAAGACCTTTGTCCAAGGATGTACATCGATTCCTACTAAAGTATTTCAAACAACATGATGTATCAATAACAAAGTTTTATTACTATGTAGTTTATTAACAACTATACCCGACGTAAGATGTTCTATACTTCTCAATTCTTTATTATTTGAGCCTTGTTTATAAAAAAGCTTTTGATGACTTTCACCAGCTTTGTTAAAATTGCAAAGATGCTTATATTCTATCTACTCTACAATTGGCTGAATATTTCACTTATCAGCATACAACATTTTACGTTGGATATAGTTGCACATAAACTATATAGTAATAAAACTTTGTTATTGATACCTCATGATGTTTGAAATACTTTAATAGAAATCGATGTAAGCGTAAAAAATCTGATACAGAGTTCTTCTAACAAACTGGATATAAAAAAACAATCGATAATTCTCTTTCTTATTAGGATATACAGCTGAAACAATAACCATTCATTAGCATTATCTATATACTATAACTGGTAAAAAATTCACATTTTTCCGATAAGTGCTACCAGCTACATGAGCAAATAAAGTTTAGGATATCAAGCCGATTGGTCACATCCATATGCTTGTATGCATTCTGTTTCTCTGTGTTCTTGTTTCTCTTCTCTTTCATATATTCTTTTCTACCTTTATATGGTTAGTATTTTCTCCAGAAAATTGAACTTACGTTCACCCATACTTACGGTTAAAATACAAGAAGCGATTCTTTTCTTCTTCTTTTCTTAATTCTTTATGAAAAGAGGAAGCATAAAGTGCATATGTAATTTAGACCGAAGAAAAGAAATACAAACAGTATTTAATCCAAAAATAAATAAACAATTCTGAAAATATAAAATTTCAATGGGCAAAAGCTTATTAACAAAACTTACAATGGACAAATCTCCAAATGAAATGGGCAATTGCCCATTTGCCCCTCCCTTCGCTACACCACTGTGCCACGACTACCCTAACTTTTATAATATATCGTTCGTCATTACTGATTCAGAGTATTGTTGAATTTCTTAAACTCACTTGTCTCGTACAACTTTGTGCGACCAATTCATAGAGTGATATAAAGAACAAGAAAGAACAATATAAGTAAAATTTATCAATATTTGCTTAGCTTCTTCATAATGAATTGTGCGCGATAAGATGCATGCAGAACATGGAGAAGATAATAGAACCGACATCATTTTGTTACCTATGATTTATCTAAAAATCAACCAACGTTATAGATAGTGGTGTATGAGAGATCCCTTTATTCGACTCATCTGTATGTAATCTCTAACATGAATAAAGCATCCAATCTTGTTACATTCTCCTCCTGAACATCCACATTGTCCTTGCACATTCTAGTTCAATCTAAAAACAAAAAAAGATAATCATGCAAATTATATCGTACACAGATGACTCTCATAAAACCGATAAGTGTAAAGACGAATAGATCGAGATGAGATCGATTTCAACGATTTCGTCACCATCTTTTTGCATCGCTCTTCTTGCATTCTTTTGAGTTACATTTCTCTTCTTTTTGCGGTCTGTTTCATACTCTTGCGTTTCTGTATTATTTACTAGCACATAGAGAGGCTTCATAGCTCTGCCGGAGGGATTCAACATTCTATTGATAGACGTAAAGATGTTCACTGAAGTGACGTGTTACATATATATATGTTTGCATAATCATCGTCTTCGTCTCGTACGTACCATGCACTTGTTACTATAAATCCATGCTTCTCCAGCCATTGCTGTCTTTGTTCACTGTACACTCCAACGGGACACAGGTGCTCGCTCTAGTTGCGTGCACGAAAAACATTTCATATAGGTGAATAAAATCGTTCGAACACCGCACGCCACAAAAAAAAGACGCAGTTGCACTTTATTATCCTCATGAAAAGGAAAAAAAAGAAAAAGAACAGTTACAATTTCTTTTTCATGTTTTCAATGTTTCGTCTAACAACCGCAATATGTGAATGCGTTGGAAGAAGAGATTTTTCCCAGACTTTTTGTGCTTTTTCGTAATATGAAAGTGCTTTCGAGTAGTCACCCATGTTTCTATACAGATTACCAATGTTGTTGTAGGATTGAGCCAAGTCACCATGATTCGAAGGGAGAGCTATTTTTTGAATTTCCAGTGCCTCTTCGTGCGCTGAAAGTGCTTTTGAGTACTCGTTCATGTTAGTATATACCAAACCGATGTTATTGTAGGATCGAGCCACGTCAGGATGATTCCAAGAGAGTGTTTTTCGATCGATTTCAAGTGCTTGTTCGTGCAATAAAAGTGCTTTCGAGTACTCGCCCATGCTAGTATACACCAAACCGATGTTGTTGTACGAACTAGCAAAGTCCGTATGATTCTGAGTCAAAACTGTTTTTCGAATTTCAAATGCTCGTTCGTGCGATGAAAGTGCCTTCGAGTACTCGCCTATATTAGAATACACCGAAGCGATGTTGTAGTAGGAAGAAGCCAAGTCAGGATGATTCTGAGGGAGAGCTATTTTTTTGCATTTCAAGTGCTTGTTCATATGATGAAAGTGCTTTGGAGTACTCGTCCATATTAGAGTACACCAAACCGATACCGCTGTAAGAACGAGCCAAGTCAGGATGATTCGGCGGGAGAGTTATTTTTTGGATTTCAAATGCTCGTTCGTACGATGAAAGTGCTTTGGAGTACTCGCCCATATTAGAATACACATTACCGATATTGTTGTAGGAAGTAGCCAAGTCGTGATGATTCGGATGAAGAATTAATTTTCGGATTTCAAATGATCGTTCGTAGAATGAAAGTCCTTTGGAGTACTCGCCCATGCTATTATACACCCAACCAAGTTGATGAGTGTAATCCGATCTCTCTTTATCAGAAGATGACCGTTCGAGAAGGATCTGATAGAGATGTTCTGCTTTTGTAGACTCACCTAGTCTAAGAAGTATATGGCCAAGTCGAGACCACCCTGTTATCCCACTAAGTTCCTCACGTAGATATGCGGTAAGTGTATTAAGGTCATGATTGTCGTTACCCGTAAGAGTGAGATTAACTTGCCACAGCCGACCAGTATGTTTGTCGTGGATTCGTTCAATTCGATCGATGCGAAATATTGTATGTGTCGAAAAAAGTATTTCTTCCTCTGGGTCTTTGTAGTAGCCAACTTGACTTACTTCAGCAAATGGTGTTCATGATTTTTTGCAAATATCCGTGTCAATATTCATAATAAAGAGAATCCTAACTGAATTGGGATTCTCTGTAGCTGGCCGTGCAAAAGTTTCCAGTGTAATATTGCGATTGCGACTTGTCGACAGGAAGCTATTGAAGGACATAAGTCCTCCTTTAGTTTTTTTCATTTTTTCAAATCTTCTATGGATAAACCTTGTCCTCGAAAGACTTGAAAATGTTTTGGCATGCTGCTTTCTTGTTCAAGATATAATTCCGTAATATGAAATTGTTCGAAAAATATATCATTGATTTTGTCGTTTTCTAAGGAATAGAAATTATTTTACGTGAAGCTTAATGAAAAAAATTAAATATGAATGAATACATGAATTTGTTTTGGGTGTAGGAAAATAGAAGACTCAGACCCAGACCCACACCCACAGCCCTATATCCACACCCCTATACCCACACCCACACCCACACTCACACTCACCCACACCAACACCCACACACCCACATCCTCACAGCCACACCCCACACCCACCCACAGCCACACCCACACCCTATTATCTTTGACCATTTCTAGTCAATGGATATTATCTTTTTATTGAAAACAATTTATTCGACAATTCTCATTTAGATTTGTTTTTTCTTCCAATCAAATCTAAACATTTTCAACTAGTCTCTTATTAGTCATACTATATAGTTTTCAGTATCAATCAAGATTTCCTTGTGTTAATTATGTTTGCATAAATAAATATTGCTCATTTAGAGAAGCTTACTGTCCTTCTGCTTTTCATCACAGAGAATTCTAAGAAAAACAATTAACGGTGGACGTCATCAAGTTTTATTTCGATGTAAATCTGAGTCTATAAAAACAGCTGGAAATCGACATGGAATGAAACCAATATTTCCATATAAATACTCTACAGTTATCAAAATTTCTATCTGAAAACTATTGTCAAATAGAAGTTATTTATTTAGTGGGAGATATTTTTCGAGAAAAAGAAACGTAAATAGGCTATTATAACGTTCAGTAATCCGTTTCTATCGCGTACTTAAACTATCTATCAGGGGTGGCGCGACCGGGGGGTAGTCGGGGGTGCGACACCCCCCCAATCTTCAAAAATTTCTGTTTTTTTGCTCAACAAAATCAGGAAATTTTCTTCCATTTGTCACCAAAAACAATGTTACACACCCCGAAAAATTGCAGACTTCGTCTTTTTAGTCCAAAAAAATTTTCGCCCCCCCCCCCCCCCCCCAATGTTGGTTGACTCGCGCCACCCCTGCTATCTATTCTTTATTAAATATTATATCAGTACGCTGCAGTTAGTGTTTTTGATACAATATACATATATCCGTCTTTTGTTTAAGATGACTTCATTTATTTTCATATCAATGAACATTGTGCAGCAATCGCAATAAAGTACGTAAATGTTGAAAAGAAAATAATATCTGTGTGTGATGAACATATTGGACGACGAATGATCAACAGCACATTTTTTATTTGAATCACGATCATACGTTCCATTCTTCGCTGACGAGAAAGGTCATTAAAAAAAACGAACATATGATGTATATATATATATGTGCTTTTGGGAAGATGACTATCATAATTAAACATGAATCAGTCTGACATTCTTCTTCTTGATCTACCTAATGAAATACTACTTACCATCTTGAAAAAACTGGACAACATTGATATTCTCTATTGTCTATGTGGAATTAATAATGAACGACTTGATAGTTTAATACAGAATCGTATATTTAATGACAGTGTCGATTTTGTAATAACGTCATCAATGAGTGATGTCAAACTTGATCGATTTTGCTCTTATATATTACCTCGAACTCATCATTATATAAAAAAACTCATTCTCGACACAACATCTATGGAACGTATTCTTCTTGTTGGTGATTATCCAAATTTGACTTCTCTCGAACTCTTCAATTTCGAACAAAAGATAGGTTTTCATTATTTTACAGGTAAAAGCACTTAACATGCATTAGAAGATTAAAATACAAAAGTATTGATTAACATTGTTGTTTTTTCAGATGATAGACCATTTCGACATATTTTTAAACATCAAATAACAGATCTTATTCTTCATAATAATGATGAATATGATGATAAAACATTAATGGATATTTATACTAAAAATGTTTATGCACATATCATGATTTTCTTTCAAAATCTAAAGGTTTTGAAAATTTTCGCATTATCTGAATATGAGTATCCACCTTTGGTACTTTTTAATCATCAATCAACAATTTGCTTCTCTTCAACTCTCACTGTATTATCTATAAATGTGTTTGGTTTTGATCATTGTCTCTTGTTACTTGATGGTCGTCTCAAACAACTAACTACATTCAAAGTCCAAGTTCATGCCATCCGTAGACGTATGCTAATAGATTGCAATAAGGTAACGTTAATACTGTTTTATTGTTCTCTTAAGTTAGGGAAATCATATGACAGAAATGTTCATCGCGGTTGAGAATCTGCCACTGCTGTGACGCACTCTAAAATAAACTTGCCGCTACCATGATGCTATTGAAACTAATATTCTAATTTATAAGGTTATAACTGGTTTGAACTAAAATAACTGCTTCAAATCTATTAGATTTGCTAAGTCTTACAGTCTGCCGTAAAGAAACACCGAGATTCTATGAAAGTCAATGAATTTTAAAAATTTCTTCATAAAAAACCTGCCGCTGCCACGATGGCATTATTAAAATCTCTTCCGCGTCGCGATGATTTTTGAAAAAGTCTACCGTTACCACGCCGCTATGGACATATATGATCTATGATGAAATTATATTAATTTTCATATAAATGCATCAGATGATTACTAATTAGAATAGTGAAGAGAGTATATGACATTTTTCATTATTGTGAAAACACTATAACTAGATAGTTTTTCTTGTTTTGTGATGATTCTATATTGTTTGATGATTAATTATTAATTACTTATTAGAATTATCTAATCATACTCTTGCTAAATGAGTATCTTAATCGTCGCAATAAACAAGACAAAAGATTATCTTGTATTTTCTAAACAGTTACTTTTTTAACTTTTTTCTTTTCAAATGTTCAAGGAACAAATTGCATAGATACGTTGTTCTAACAAAGATATAAATTACTAGTCACAAATGTGCCTTTGAGTACAGAATAAAAGCAATTTTCCTTAAGGGGGGCCTCTCCCCCAGAAAACCCCATTTTTCAAAAAGTCAAAGTCGAGTTTATAATAGGAAGGTGTACCGAAGTCTCCTCTTTCAGAATATCTGTGGCTTTTCGCAAAACGAATAGAACTTGACGAAGTTACTATCTGAAACTTAGGTCCTATTATCAAATTTTTTGAGAAATTTTCTCCATTTTTTTCAGGTTTGTAGGGTGTTTTTCTCTTTGTATTAGCATTGAGTAGAGTTCTTTTTATATCAATCACTACGAAACTACTAATACCTAAGATAAAGATCACAGATCTACAGCTTATCCTGAGCACGGATATATGATTCAAGTGAGTTTCGCAAAAATCAATTTCTAAACCTTATTTAGCGTTTTTCTCAAAATTAGTTTTTTCGACAGTACTGTTTACGCGGGGAAGGTTTTTTAATAATGAATCAATAGAGAAGTGATAATTTTTTTTAATGCATAGTAAACAGGTAGGATTAGATCCTCACAGAATCCGATTTTTGAATTTCTCTTTTGGTGAAATAAAAAACTTAGATATTTCATTCTTTGGTAGCAATTTCTTTTGGGCATGATTTCGTGAATTTTATGAAAAAGGTTTTTTAAAAAACAAACAAAGAGAAATTCCAAAAATCGAGCCCTGTGAGGATCTAGCCCTAAGGATACTCTACAACTTGAAAACCGCTAGGGCTTGTTAGCTCGTATCCTTATTGTGAAATCCTTGTCCGCATAAAGGGTACTTTTGACCAATAAATTGACTATAATCCCTTAGTTTATTGGAGATTTAGGGGAGATATTTTAACCACAATCTATCCTAGACTAACATTCTCTGAAATTTTGGTTGAAATCAGATGAAAAATAATAGGGTTCATTTTTGAGGGAGTCCCCCCTTAAATAATCAAGTAAAAACTGCAGAATTTATTAATGTTATGTAATCATGTCTCACTTGCCCATAACAATTCTAATGTCATGGTGCTTTTAAGAGAAGAAAGAATATCACATAAAATTCTTTAGATTTAAATTATGCTCAGAAATATACGTATAATCAAAGATAACATTATCAGAAGCAATAAGACTTTACTTTATATCGATTTAGATATACCCAAGAAAAAACTTTTCTATTAAAATGTCTCTTCAGTAATGACAGTTACACTCTAGAAATCAAAATTATTTTATTTAACCATAATAAATATATTTTATGCAGATTCTATAATCTAATCAAGTTCAAGATTCTAAATTCTTGAAGATTCTGAAGTTGATGTTTTCTTCTTTTTTTTTTTGAATTGATTTCTAAATATCAACTATTTTAGTTTCGACGTCATTTTTGCATTATATATACATATATATCATCAAATAGTAGATATATCGAGAAAAGAATTGAAAATAAGAAGAGTTTTACAGATCAATTTTCACATAAACTATTTATCTTGGTTGAAATGATAAATATATATGCTAAAGATATTTTTGTAAATTATAGGATGATTTAATCAACTTGAAGTGTTTCTCATTAACAAATTATAATTACATTTATGATTATGATGATTTAGTTGTTCCACTTCTTCGTCGTATGACGCATCTGGAAAAGTTAACTTTATATCTTCGTATCAGTAAGACCGGTCTATTCATTGGTGATGCAAGTCCATTTATTGATGGTATACATCTTCATAATGAAATTCTTGTTCATATACCTCAACTTCATACATTCAAATATTATATTAGTACAGAAACGTGCACTGATTATTCAAATCTTCGTATTTCCAATCGTGATATTCAACAAACATTTACAAATATTATAAAATATGGGCAAACAGCTTGTATTATGGATTATTATGGTGCATCTGGAACTATATGTCATGTTTATTCGCTTCCATTCACATTTACTCATTTGTACAAAATTACGACTCACTTTCCATTTATTGTATTTGATACTGTAACTCACTTATCTGTGTATGATATTGTTCCATTTAAACATGAATTTTTCATGCGAATTAATCAAGCTTTTCCATTACTCAAATGTTTCACTGTAAAGAATGCTCGAATGCAGTATTGGAATTCTAATGATAATCTATCAGATCCAATTATTGAATTTACTCATCTAATATCACTTGAAATTATACATGCGGGTATGTATTATCTTGAACAATTTCTGGTCAAAACAAATACACTTCTACCTCGTCTAACTCGTTTAAAAGTCAATTACAACGACTTGAAAACTGTAACAATCAATTTTACAAGAGAAGAAACGCGCCATAATTGTTCTAAAGTTAAACAATTAATTGTCGAAGACTCAATCATTTTTTCAAAATATGTTTATCAATATTTTCCTTCATTGTAAATTAAATTGTATGTTAATAATTTCTCGTATAAAAATAAACGATGAAAATTATTATATTCTTATAAAAAGAACTAAAGCTATAGTAGGAAAGTTGCACATAAAATATAAATATATAATTATATTTATTTTATCATTTATATTTAAAAAAATTGATTATGCTCGAATATGATCTGATGAAGAAAATTGTGATGAGTTGCAAGAAAATAATAAAATCATTGATTATCAAGATTATGCAATTGTTCTCAATCGTAAATTAATGTTAAAACTGAAGAAACGTAAAACATCAGAAATATCTCGAGGTAACTCTGCGAAGTGACTTCGAACAGATGACATTTCATCACCTTCAGCTAATCAAGACAAAGTCCATATTAACCAGTTTTCATCTTCAAGATCCAGACAACTGAATCATAAGTTTCTTCAACTCAACAGGCAGATGATTGCTCGTACATAGTCATTACGATCAACATAAAAAGACACTTGGTTTGATTTCAAACAATGAAAAACAAATGGTTACATTTGCATGCGTTCATTATGTGAAGAAATTGTGTTTGGACAAACTACTTTTTTTTTTTCTTTGGGTTGCGATCGTATTTGCGATGAGACAGAAGTTCAAACGTTAAAAATGAGTATCAATGCTGGAAGTATTGTAATTAAGGATAAATTAACTTTTTTCCTACTTTTTTGCCTACAGATAAAGAGAAATGCTTGAAAATTCAAAGAATTTTCGACAATAGAGAGTTATATTCAAAATTTTACTTACCTGATGAGATCAGTAGAGCATGCCATAGTATTTCGACATACTTCAGATAAACTTCACATAGATTCAATCGTCGCTTTCGTTTACAGTAGATTTCATTTGTTGTGACAAGAAGCCATATTGCACTGCCTTTCACCACACAGCATATCCTTCTCTATCATTGGTCGATACATTATGTCTTCGCAACGAAATACTGGATCAAAACATTAAAATTGAGGATATTCAAAGAGAACAAGCTCCTCTGTCATATCTAAACGTTGTGGATTGTATCTGTTATCACGAAAAGTCTTTTAGAACGCACTGTCCATTGTGACGTCGATATTCATTTTCTTACATTCATTGATTTTCAGCTAATCACAGTGTTGCTTGTCGAGTCCTTCGTCGTTACAGTTTATTTACTGTCTCAAATGCATAATTGTTTAATGAACGTCTTAAATTAGTAGCTAGCTATATTATGTACGTTGATGCATGAAGAAGTGAAAATGTATAAGCTTTAGTCAATGAAATGTTTTTAACAAATCATTATAATCATAAAAAGAAAATGCACAAGAATGAAGAAAATTTCTGAAAGAAAAATGTTCAAAAATGATAGACGAAATACCTTATCAATCATAATTCTTCGTAGAAAGCAAAACAAAATCATGTTCATCTCGTGAAGTTTTATAATAATTAATGTTTTAAAAAAAAGAATTTTCTTGTAAAGGTTCTTTCTAAGACACATTGTAAATGTGACTGATTAAGAAATGATAATTTTATAAAAATCAACTACGAAAATTCATGCATGTTAATATTGCCGCATACATTTTAACACTAGTTTTAGCCAGAAGTACTGAAACTTTGAAAAAATTAAAGGTCATGCTTATATAAATATGCCGTAAAATTTCAAGCTTCTATGCCAAGAAAAAGTAAGTCAAATGTTGGTGACAATTTCTCAGAATTTATTAATAAACATCGTCTATATATACAATAATCAAGTTATTCCTTTCTCAGTTATGTTGATATTGTAGTAAGAGTTGTTTAATTTTGTTCGATGAATCTGTATCTATTTCATTAGATATTGTGCAATCAAAGAGAGTAACTGCAATATCATCTATATACAGGGTGTTACATAACCTTTTTCTTCCCCTCTAGAAACTTCAATTGTAAATGATATCACAAAGTATTATATACCAAATTAAAGCGCATCAAAAACTGAATTCATTGGTACTAAACAGTAAAGGTTATGAAGACCTTTTAATAAGACATTCTCAGAAATTTTATACTTTTTTAGCGTAGAAAATTAAGGTGCTAGTAATTCAAAAATGCAGTAAACTTTTTTTTCTTGGATATTTTTATATAATTCGATAGAGCTCGTCGAGCTCTACAAAACTGTATACTTCAAAAAAATTTTGAGCCATCTTTTTGAGACAAAAAATTCAAAAGACTACTTGAAAAATCTCAAAAATGTCAAAAAAACTCATTTTTTATCATATGGAAAAAAACACTCGATTTTTCAACAATATTAGCTTTTTCATTACTCATGCTACCTCAGACATTTTGAAATGTGCTCATTCGATACTGTGTGAAAAACTGCATCGAAAGAATAGGTTTCGAAATGTCTGAGGTAGCGTGAGTAATGAAAAAGCTAATATTGTTGAAAAATCGAGTGTTTTTTTCCATATGATAAAAAATGAGTTTTTTTGACATTTTTGAGATTTTTCAAGTAGTCTTTTGAATTTTTTGTCTCAAAAAGATGACTCAACATTTTTTTGAAGTATACAGTTTTGTAGAGCTCGACGAGCTCTATCGAGCCATATAAAAATATCCAAGAAAAAAAGTTTACTCCATTTTTGGATTACTAGCACCTTAATTTTCTACGCTAAAAAAGTATAAAATTTCTGAGAATGTCTTATTAAAAGGTCTTCATAAAATTTACTATTTAGTACCAATGAATCCAGTTTTTGATGCGCTTTAATTTGGTATATAATACTTTGTGATATCATTTACAATTGAAGTTTCTAGAGGGGAAGAAAAAGGTTATGTAACACCCTGTACATTATATGTACATCATCCTAATAATTGATATAATCGCCTCTTCTTTCAATTAATAATTGTACTTTGTTTTCCATGAAATCGGCTAATTTTTCAGTGAATTCGATAGATAAATTTTTCCATTCTTTTTTTTAATTCTTACAAAGAAATTTATTGATTGATGTAGGTGATTGCGTGGTTATTTTGAGCTTCATTAAAGCCCAAACATTCTCGATTGGGTTACAATCTGGAGATTGTGATGGCTAAGGTAATGATTGTATGCCATTATTGGCCTTGAACATTTGACTCATTTTTGAGATATACTTCGGATCATTATCTTCTAAAAGTTTCCAATTATAGTTATTATCACCAAATCATTTTTTACTGATGGCAGGAGTCCGTTCTTGTAAATTTTGCACATAGACTTGGAATTTAATGTTTGTCTAAATAATACCAGTTTTCCAAATCCATGTTTGCTAAAGCAACCTCAAGCGTGAACGTTGACAGGATGCTTCACTGTTGTGAGACATAATATTTTTTCCATACATGTCTTATCAATTGTTTGATATGAAATGAACTCTCATCTGTAAATACAACTCGATTCTAGTCAACATCTTGGTGTTGTATACTTCACTAAAGTCTTTTCTTAACATAGTCATTTGTTAGCAATGATTTGGAAATTAGTTTCATTGATTGTATATCAGCCTCTTTAAATCTTCTTCGTAATGTCGTTTCATTAATTCTTATATCTTTCTTTGATAATCTAAATGCAATTTAACCTGTAGATTCGGTTGAATGTTGAGCTACCATCGATTGAATTATAGCATCTTGTTTTTCCATTGTAGACCGTTTACGACTAGATTTTTGTACAACTTCTACATGACCAATTGTTTCATATCTTCCAAGACAATTTCACACAGTCGACTCACTAAATTCGTAAATATCGTAAAGTATCAGCATTTGACATGTATAGGCCATACTCGTGCCTTGATAAGAAGACGATTTTCCATCTTTTCTTTGAAGAAATGTTCATTTTTTTATTAACTTATAAATTGATAACAGAATAAATATAAATGTTCCTATTTATATGAGATGATGAGAACTACTAGTCCATTCAAACAAAGCAAAAAGATAAAATAAAGGTCTTTGTTGAAGAACAAAAAGAGGCCGCGGCCATTTATGGCGATTACTACACTTAATCATTTCCGTACGACTTCCTATTTTCTTTAGATCTCTAAAGATATTTGCTACCATTTGCTGATTCAATAGAGTCTTCAAAATAGAGAATTTTGTACTCTTGCTGCTCACGATCTTTTCAATATTATTGGTATCATCACACAATAGAAGAAGATTCCAAAAAAAAAATATTGTTGCCATTAAGTGCATTATTGAAAATAATATTTTTGAAAGGCATTTGTATACTATGAAACGCTGATTATCATGCTGCTGGATACAAACCTTAGTTCTGATCATTATAACCTAGGCTGTCATCAGAATAATTAGTGAAAAAAGAAAACTCGCAACGATCAGTTTGAAAACAACATTTTTCGGTATTTTCAACTTTCTATTTCAAAATGTTTCTAAATAAAATATTTATTTTCAATTTGTCAAAAAGATAAAGAATTTTCTGTGGATTATTGTAACACGTTTTTAACTCTTTGATGACTGACAAAAGAAAGGGAAAACTTTTTTTTTTTTTGGGAAAGTCATTATAACTATTTATTAAAGTAAACATCTTGATATTGTTATTTTCACAAAAACAAATTATGATAGGGATATAGGAATCTTCTCTCCTGTTGCTTAACGCTTTCTTTTATCTGCATGTATATGAAAACCATGAACTATGAGTGATTGCGTTAGTTTCATGCCATAATCATATTCAGAATGTATATGTACGTTGTCGATAATCAAAGGGTTAACCAACTTTTGACGTTTATCGAAACAACACACACTTTAATTTTAACTAATCATGATTGCTTCATCCACTTTTATGTAGATTTGATCTTGAAAAGCAATATCAGAATGAGCATTCGTTTGAACATGGATTTTTACTTCGAATTGTTCAGTCGTTTCGATTGACAGAAAAATTAATTTTGATTAATTGAAAAGCATACAAGAATAAACAATTTAAGAAGTTCAAAGAAGATAATGAAAATTTTTTTCTGATTTTTTTCCTCTTGACTTGTGTATAATCTCTGTTAGAATGTCAGTAACTATCCCATAAAGTAAAGAATGTGTCTTGCTAGTCAAAATTTGCAAAAGCACTATTCAATCTTTCTACAACTAACTTAAATAACGATCAAATTAAGCTCATCAATGCAGATATTGCATGCAAGCAAAAATTATATAACTTTCTAAAGATATTTCAAACGTCTGATTATTTAGAATCTTAATAATAATCTTTAATTCATTATCGTTAGATAGCTATGATTTATTTTGATATGATACAATGGTTATATCTATTAATGTAATATTTGATTGCAAACTGTGTCGATATTGTTTTCTGTCATTTTATAAAGATCTACATGGTTGTTACTGTGAAATAAAACTTTCAATATAGTATATAGTAAAATATTTTCTATTTATGACTAGTATGAAATCATGAAAAACCATTACTGTTTTTTTAGTCTTGACTAATATAAGTATTATCTATTCATCATTCTCTTCAGAAAAAAATTCATGTCTAATGGATTTTTATTTCATCTTATCATCATTTATAATACCATTAAGAGACAAACCAAATCTTTAGAAATAAAATCCAATCATTTATTTATTATTAAAAAGCTAGAAGTATAAACTCCGATTCTAATAAAATTCAAGAAATGATTATATAATATGTAAATAAAGGATAGTAATTAACATCATACGTAGTCATTTGCGAGATTTAATTACTTTCATTGATATTCTTAAGGGATTTATATTTATTCTTCTGCAAATGAATTTCTAGCCTCAATGAAACAAAGATCATAGATTACTCAATAAAAGAATATTCTAATATTCTTTCACTTAAATTCGAATAAATAATCTAGAAAACTATTCAAAGATGAATAAACTTTTTTCTTAAATTATTCATCACATATTGTTTACATTAGAGATCATAGAAAAAATCAGAGGATTTAGAGTGTATCTCCTTCTAAATAATTGAAAATTATTCATTAACTAGTAAGATTTTTAAAAATTATTTAGTATCCTTATGGGAAATTTTCCAATAGCTTCCATTTTTCGCGTCCTAATCCTGAAATGTTTGTGTAATCATTAGTTTAGATGTTGCACATCTACAAAACAAATAGATCATTGTAAAGCGAATTGATTCTCTTTTGTATATTAAATAGATTATCTTGGGAAATGAGAATATATTTCTTAGAAAGTCATTACCAATAGTTCTATTGGTTTATTGATGAAACAAAGAAAAAAAAAAGAAAGAGGAAAAATTTTCTTCTTCTTCTTCTTCTTCTCCCTGTTGTATTCAGTTGTTTGATGACTCACCATTGACTGTCAAACTCATCGATCGATATTAAATTTCAAAATATATCAAATGTCATTGATGCCAATTGTTAAAGTTGTTAATTTGTATGTGTAACTTCTTTTTCTTTTCAAACATAAAAGACTTTCTTGATAGATATCGTCATGAATTATTAGATAATGATTTTGGTATCGAATGGATGAATGATTTTAATGATGAATCAAAAGGAATAATTACTGAAGAATCTTCTAATGATCAAGATTTGATAAATAATCATAGTCAGATAAATTTAAAACATTCTCGTTCAACTATTCAAGTTCGATCTATTAGTAAAAATACAATACATCTTCCAGCACAGATTTGGAGATCACTTGCTAAGGTTTCAAAATAGTTTTTTTTTTCTAATCATTGATTAAAGTTAATAATAAATTTTCTTATTTAGATTGTACCTGGTGATATTGTTATTGAATTAAATGGTGTAAGTATATGTGGACAAGCAGTTATTGAATGTAATTTAAATTAGATTATTTTTATGTAATTTTTCTTTTTTTGTTTTTTTTTTTCAGTTGAAAAAAATTTAAAATTATCCGGTAATCGAATTCGTATTCGATTGAAATCAGGTATAAATTTTGTACTTTTATTGAAAATATTTTTAGTTACATTAGGTAGATATTCATGTATTAACTTACATACTTTATAGATTAAATTCACAAGACAAGAAGTTATTTACTTGTTTTTTGTGGAATGTAGATAATTCTTCTTTTATTTCTTTTCTTTTCTTTTCAATTATGAGATTAAAAGATCAGATTAGTATACATATCGATTTATTTAATCTTATACAACTCTTATATTTGTAACAAAAGATGAAGCTAGTTACAATACTTCTTCTCCTTTTTTTTTTCTCTTTAAAAATGTACATCTTCGGGCGTATGATTACAAAAGTGTTCAATTTCACTATTAACACCCACTTTAGAGGTTACTATTTGTTTTTCTATGCGTGTGAGTATTAATGGATATAATTGATTTTGTTCTTTTTCTTTTGTTCTTTGCACATAACATGCATATTTGTATGCTTGCGGGACTCTCTTGTCCATACTGTATTCTCTAACATATAATAGGATAAAAGTCTCGAGAAATTAGAAGACGAAAGAAGGAGTGAGATAGCCATGAATATTTCTTCGTTTACTGCACATTGAACAATAATGGATTTTTTTCCTGTGTACTTAAATATATCTCTATTCCATCTATAATTCATTTTTATTTTACATCTTCGCGAACCATTTAATATCATATATATGAGGGCAAACACTTGGGAGTCATTCATGAGTATAATAGGATTATTGTAATAGAGTTTCTTTTACATTCAATTCGATAATAAAAACGAAAATACTAACAAACTATTGTATACAAAGAAAAAATACAGGTAAACAAAATAGTATATAGTTGAAAGTCTATGAGTAGATAATGATATGTAACAAACAGGCGAAGAACAAAAATAAAACAACTGACTTGTCCTTAGTTTTTCTTAACTATTTTTTCAGAGAGTGTTGTTATTGTTGACATTGACAGACGGCTATTGATGATTTACTATCGTAGAAGCATTAAGTCGTAGTTACATTTTTTCCGTAATATAGACAAAAATAAGACAATATATTTATGTTGTTTCTTTTTTATCTTCTCTTCTATGAGAACGACTCTTTTTCCTTAAGCTATTGCTTTACTCGAAATTGCATTGCGCATCTTTCCCGAGATTGATTTTATCATATACACACATACATCTATTCATGATGACACTCAACAATATTTAGTTTGCATCCTGAATCTAATCCTTCATTCACAATAAGAACTGACAGTTTAGAAAAGAGAGAATAGTGCTCTTTCCGATAAAGAGACATAAAACATCTTGCTTCTCTATTCCTAAGCGACTAAATAAAGGTCAATCACTGTATCAATAAGTAGTTCTATGAACCTAACATTTTATAATAAATTATCAATTGGATTCTTCTGTTCTTTTTTATATTTCTTATCTTGTATATTAGACTATAGTGGCGCATGCACATCATCAACTCCTGTTAATTCAACTTGGCATTCACCTTCAGCATATACATTATCAATAAATAAGAAAAATTCTTTAGATAGTTATACTTATTCAACAAACGGATATACAAATAATTCCTATTATTTAAATAATAAATCAATGACCAATGGTTATAATACAACATCATCAAAAAGTCGTTCATTTGAAAGTGATCTTGATATATGTGGTGAAAAAATATCTGATGAATTAACTATATCATCATCATCATTAATTGATTTACCTACATCATCCTTAATAAGTCATGCTGATTATGATAATCTTCCTATTATTAATAATGAAAATGGAATTAATGAAGAAAAAGTAATAACACATCAAATTATAACAAGATTATCTACACAAATACAATCACCTATATCAAGTGAACTTGATCAAAAAATAAAAAATGAAATTGATGCAAGACTTAAAGATATTGATGATGAATTTGATTTTAATTGTAAGAATTTATAAATTGTTTTTTTTTTCTTTCTGCATTCTGTCGTTTTTATTTCTAGCGCCAGTTATTGCAGAAACAGTTAATAAATCAGTTGATCTTCCATCGGTACGACGATTAGCTAAACGACTCTATACATTAGATGGATTTAAGTCAACTGATGTTGTCAGACATTTATGTAAAAGGTACCTAGATAAAGATTCTTTTTTTTTTCTTCTCAGAACGGAAAAAAATGTCATCCAAATCACTCTCGCATAGATTAAGGAAATCATCTATTCCATATAAAATATATCATTCTTTAATGGATGCGTGTAAAACATTCTCCGATTTCTAGAACATTTTTAACCTTTTTAATCTTAACCAATAAACATGAAATGTAATATGCACGATAAATTTTTCTTATATTTATTTTTACTAGAGTATAGTGAATTAAAGTCTAAGTTTCGTATTTATCCACATCATATTTTATTGATAATACTATGATAAAGAACTATAATTTGTTATTACATGAGAACGTCCAACATGAGTTAAAGTATGTGATAACATCCGTCAATATAACATCCAACAAACGCATGTCGACAATGAAGCAAAAAAAGAAAAGGTAACATATGCATTGTTAGACTGTAATTCATGCTATATGAAAACAGATGATATAATACACACGTTAAAGTAACTAATTGAAGATAGTTATATATACATAGAGAGAAAGTAGATTTTATTATGCAATGACCTACATTTATCTTAGGTATTCTCTTATTTTTTTGTATTGAACCTTTACATCGTCCATAAAAATATTAAGTTAATACATATAAGTAGAAGATTTGACCTTTAATGTATCTATGCCGTATGTCTCCTGTCATATATCTGTTCACAATCGCATGTACAGTCCAATAGCCTTGGAGATGACGTCTGGTGTAACACATGTCTGTTTATCACTATCATTATATAAGCCTTGTAATGTAGGCTATCTGAAGTCTAATATAAAACGATCCAGATTGAAGTCATTTACTATTTATAGTTCTACTACATACAGACAAACCTCAAGCGCACTCCAACTTGTATATGATAAGATAGTTTAATGTTTTATTCGTATTATATTCTTTTATTGTGATGTAGATCTACCAATATCCGAACTTTTCTTACCATGTTCACTACTAACAGGTAATTTCTTTCTAATACATATGACATGAAAGAAGACACACAACATTAAAATATTTTTCGATTAGTAATAGAAGTTTATTTAAATATAAATGTAATGTTTTATAGATAATTTTCAATTATCATCTAAGAGAATAATAATAATAAGTTAAATAATACTATATAGAGTAAATATTTAGAACTAGTTAGTTAAAAGTCAACGGTTACAAAATTTCGAATTTTCAAACATGAAACACTGGTATTTTTTGCAAGAAAGTTGATGCCTACATGGTTTCAATAGTATCTTTTACTTATGGAACATGTATCTTCAGCATTAAAACTAACTACTAGTTTTGAAAACTTTCTCGCTATGCATTAATATAGTTCGTTTTGACTTATTATTATATTTTTAGATAATAACTGAAAATTATCATATGAAACGCCGCATATGTATTTCTTTTTTCTTGACAATAGATGAGATTTCTTTGATAAGATCAAAAATAAAACTTGACAGTAGTATTGGTTTACGTTATTCATACGAAAAAAAAAAACATTTTAAATAAATTACTACTAGTCAAAAGATAACCTCATTCGACGGAACCGAAGCGGAGATATTTCAAATTTTCATCGTAATGCTATTTATAGCCTATCCTGTACGTTCCGAAGTATATGAGCGCTCAAAATTGATCGTACATTAGAACTCACCGAATCTAAGAATTTCTGAATCTGGATCCGATGGACTCTATCGTATACCCAACATATGCCGCTGTTTTCCTATTATCTGAAGAGGAGTTCAACGTATCGATCTGTCATTTTTGGTTAAGTATAGTTTATTTGCTCCAAGTATTACCTCTTTCCACTGTAAACTTGCTGTACAAGGAAAAAAAAGTACTAAAAACAATGTCGTTTAATTTTACATAAATTTCACAATAAAAAACTGTACATTCTGTGATTTCAAACAGGAGAAAATGCATTTTGTATGGTATTTTGATGAAGATTTTCTTCATTTTACAATTAAAACACATTTGTAATATATTTTCTTTTCGAAATTACAAAATATTCGGTTTTCTATTGTGAAATCTATGTATATTTTTGAGCCAAATCAAAGAACATTTTTTTTTTTATCTAGCACTGGAAGTTTACAGTGATACTCGAAGCAAATAAACTATACCATGCCACAAACCACATCTCAATACGTTGAATCTCTCTTAAAATATTGGGCAAACAAAATCATCTGTTGAGCGTATATTGGGGGGAGAGCAGCTGTATTTTTTGAGTTTTCTGATCCCCGGTAATTTGAGCAGTTAAAAAGATTCTCCATCAGGATTCATGTATCTAAAAACTTCAATAAAACTGCTGGTTTTATTATGATAGAGCAAATAGTTATGAACAAAATGAGATGTTTCAGCTCTCTTCATCAAACTACTTTCAATTTATTGAAGACTTCAAAGCGTAAAATACAGCGAAATCATTGAAATTTTTCATAGAAATAAAAGAAAAACATCTCTTGGATCTTCTGTAAATTGAATGTAGTCCGACGAAAAGAGCCGAGACATCTCATTTTGCTCAGAATTATTTGCTCTGTCAAATAAAACCATTACCAAAAAGCTTTAAGTCGATGCCAGAAAATTGGTTTTGGTATTCCACACATCTTCATCCAAGCAGTTTTATTAGAGTTTTTGGGCTCAAAAATTCCCGATAGAGAATCTTTTTAGATACTCAAATGCTTATGCAGATTTTTTTCTAACTATTATCATCGAGAAGAAAATAACTGCTCTAAACTCTTATCCGTCACTATACGATCAAGTTTGAGCGCCACTCTATCAATTAAGGCACACTGATTGCAATATCGAATATTTTGCAACTAACTCAACAATAATAAATCTTAGTTTTTAATTTTTTTTTTCAAAAGATACGTTGTCGAATTTTCTACAAAAACTATATCACAAGATTTTTTTGACTAGTCTTCATAAATTTTTAGAAAACTAAAATAAAACATATATAAAATGTTGCTATGTCCCACTATAACAAAAGTAAAAAAAAAAGTGTTTGTGGTAATATATCTCTATACAAATAAATCATAAAAACTCGAATTTATTCTTAAAAGATATGTCGCGAAATTCTCTACAATAGTAAAAATAAAATATTCTCTCGATTTGTAATAATAGATTTAGAGAGAGCTAAAATGAAAGTTGTGTAAGATGCTCTTATTCCTCACTCTAACAATAATGTAGACACTCGAGAAAACACAAATTTACAATCTAAATCGAGTCCATTGTGCAAAAACTCATTGCTTAATAGCGCAATACGGATAATAGGATTCTTGTAATGTCTGAAAATCGTCAGAAAAAAATAAAAAGTATGTTAAATGCAGTTATTGTTTATATACAGCAAAGAAATGCAACGATCTTTTTGACTTTGCAAATTGTAGAGAATTAGACGTCACATTTTTTGTGAAAAAAAAAAGTTCAAGACTTTATGATTTATTTTTGCAGAGATATTTGCAAAATATCCGATGTTACAATTATTTTGCTTCACTCGATTTATAACATCTTGTGTATGTACTATATTGTAAAAACGTTAAACAAAATTGCATGTGCAAATAAAAATTACGATAATTGAACTAGGACATTGCTAGGGCATATAGCCAATGCGATTATAAAGTAAAGCCTATAATATATGATAAACAAGAGAATATAGAGTTATGAGATTTAAAAAAAATTGAAGTTTATATTTAGATTTTTAATTAATTGGATCATAATATGCTTATCAACTTGCTCATATTTCAATTTCATTAAAATAATATGCTTCCGTATATATAACTAAGAAAGAAAAAAAAAAGGCTTGATAAAGTTTTTATTGCATCATCTTCTTTCCGGAATATGTCTTCTGTTTTCTTTTTTTTTGTTTTTCCTCTTAGTTTTTCTAAAATCTGTTTCTATCAAGTAGCTACTGATTTTTTTTTCTTCTTCTTCTTCTGTTCTTGAATCTTCCGGCTAGACTATTTTCTCCTCAATTTCTTATTTTCTTTTTTTTTTTCTGTTGCAAGCAGCGAGCGCATCATCACTCTGCATGCAAGACAATAGTCTTACGGGAAGCGGAGTGAGTAAGCAAGTAAACAAGCAATAGAATTTTCTTTTTTGCATTGCTCCTAAATTGAACATTAGTGAGTGAAGTAGTGGTTGCAGAGACGATTTTCGCTCCGTTCTGTTTCACAACCGCTTATCATCCCACGCCTTATGTGTGTGTCGATTAGCAGAAAGCATTGAAACATCGAGAACGTGTTATTGGCCAAAAAAAAAAACGCTCATCATCTCCTTTCCGCAGGCAAATCTAGTTGTATTCATCAACATTACTGTTCGTACGAACAGTTGAATCAAAGAATACATATCAACATGTATGCATCGTGGGAATATGTGTTTGTTCGATTGTTGCATCTGTACCAATGAACGAACGTATGTGAGTTTTACTTCGTGTTTTTTTCTTTGCTTTTGTATGATTATTAGATCAATTATGATAATAAAAAAATAGAACTTTGCAAATACTGAATGGTTAAATATTATTCATAATCAAAATAATTATTTCGTTTTTTTTTTTAATATTTATCAATAGTTCATTGTTTAGTTTGTTTTTTTTTATTTTCATCAATTAATAATGTATAAGTTCGAATCTGAGAAAACTGCAGAAAAAAAAGAGTTATTTAAAATATTTTGCCTTATTTATTCGGTTTACTAACAAATGGATTGATTTTTAACACTAAAAGTAACAGGAAATTCAAATTAGAGACAATTATTGGTTTTTATCACGCTTAGAGTTATTTTTGTTGTTGTTGTTGTTGTTGTTGGGGAAAAATACGGAAAAAAGAGAAAGATTGTTATTGGCGTTTATCTGTGTAACTGTCAGGCATCAGGACAGCTATGAAAGAAAAAACAATGATTAGGAAAGACTATTTTTAGAACTATCATCAAATAGATTAAAAAAATCATTTCTGAAGATAAATTCTAATGTCATGAACTTCTATAGAAAAAATGAAAAGTTTAACATTGCTTGTTGAACTAATAGTAATTTCTATAAAAATGGAGATTTCCGTTTATCAAATAATCATTCATGCAGTAGAAAGAAAAAAAAATCAGAAAATTATCTCTTTTACACATAAATATTTTAGCTAAAGATTATATTAAAACAAAACCATACATCATCATCTTCAATTTAATTTTTATTGATGCTGATGATTAAAACTATTGGGTAAGCTGAAAAATAAACATGGTATATTTTATACATAGAGAAAACTATTTTTAATATATATTTAAAATCAAATCTTTGATAGATATTAATATAATAATTATTATTTTAGGAATGATTTTAATCAATTAGTAGCTGAAGAATATGTTAAATTATTTAATTTTCAAGGTGATACACTTGATCGTGCATTAAGAAAATTTGTTAAACAATTTACTATTATTGGTGAAGCACAAGATCGTGAACGTGTTTTACATTTTTTTGCTGCACGTTATCTTGATTGTAATCCAACAACATTTAGTTCAGTTGGTTAGTTGAAATTCTTAAATATTTATCTAATAAATATTTATTCATTTATTTAGATGCTTGTCATATGCTTACTTGTGCAATAATGTTACTTAATACAGATCTCCATGATCGAGTAAGTAGTATATCAATAAAAAATTTTCATATCAAATATTCAAGGTCAATTCAATTGAAAGTTTATATAAACATATTAGTTTTCTCTTTTTTTTTTTGCTATTCTATATTTTTCACTTTGAAAATTATCATTATTAAATACTAAAAAGAAATCATCTGTCATTTTTGTTTTGTACTAATGATCGATATTTGTTTATATGAATATATGTTCATTGATATGCATCATTTAGAATTAGTCTATGTTATTATTTGTTTCTTTTCTTTTTCTCATAGAAAATTACAAATAAAATGACCTTTCAACAGTTCAGTGATAATTTACATGAATTAAATGATGGAAAAGATTTTTCAAAAGATTTACTTAAATCATTATATAATGCAATTAAAAATGAACGACTTATGAATGAAACGTAAATATGAATATTCTAATTATATTTATTAAATTACTATGTTAAGATAATTGTATGCAATATAACTTCGAGCATTTTTTTTTTCTCTTATTCAATCATTTAATTGAATAGTACTTTAAGAATAACATCATTACTCGTTATATTCTCATATTGATGTAATATTTAGATGTCCTTATAATCATACCGGTATGGAAACAACTAATTGCTAGTGTCAACGTTCTTCAACATTTGATTAATTAACATGATTATACATAAAAAAAAAAAGAAAATTCGATCGAGAAAAATGAAAGAAAATGACAAACATTGACGATAAAAATCGATTTAAATGCTCTCTCATATGAATACTATTAAATGCATGTCAATTAGTCGTTTTTCATTGTGAGAAAAAAAGGAAGACAGTGTGTATGACCTTTAGAAAAAAAAACATTTCAATATAATAATTATTCAACATAGATCGGAAACTGATTTTTATGGTAGAATAGGAAGTGCATGTGTTCGCGTGTGTCACGCTCATAGCGAGGTCCATCCTCGTTCACGCGTAAAATATATTTTGTCATCTTCATTGAACAAACTACTCATTGCCATTTTTTTTCCTTGCTTATAATTCTATTATTGAGCTACTCCTCCTGTATACATACTCATCATTAGCATGCAACATAATACAAAAAAAATTGACGGAGCGAGCGTATCAGAGAAAAAGAAAATGTTTCACTTCTATAAATTAGTAGCAAAAGAGAAAAAAATTTATATCGAGTTGATGCGTCTCTATTCATTTTGACAATTGTTTATATTGAAAGACAGAGATCTTCTTTTTTTTATCTTTTTTTGTCTATCTGCCTGTCTACACATCATACACTCATTGGTACGTAGTAGAGAGAATACAGACATCGATTAGTAATTGTATATGGACAGACATAAATGACACATGCTCAACATGCATATTTATATATATATATGACGTGTGTTTGACGATGTAAACTGGATAAGAACAAAAAAAAAGCCACAGAGAAGTAAGCGAGTGTGACAACGCAGTCAGGTATAGATGTCATTTAGTAATAGAAAAGGACAAGATGATTATGTGACATTTTCTTACAGAGAAAGCTTCATACAACTAGATACATGAAACTTGGATAATCATGTAATAGATATTATTAAGATAGAGATAAACTAAAAGAAAAAAAAAACAACTTTCCCTTACATATTTTATTGAGAAGAAAAGTCCGACATGTTGTGATTTTATCAGAGCTAATAAATTCAACGAAAAAAAAAAATCATTTTTCATAGAACTCTTGACTCAAACGATTATAATGATGTACGATTAGATGGCCATGGAACATTACATGGTTACAGCAATATTGTTAATCCATTTTTAGAAGTAAGTTTATTGCTTTAGTGAATCATAAACATTTATTCTCTTTTATTAGATTTCTGATACAAATAGAAGTATTGAACACATGCAAGTAAGAATAATTCTTAAAGAATTCTTTTTCTTTGTCTTGTATGAAAAAAAAAAAATTTTCTCTATGAAGGGTTATCTTATGCGTAAATGTTGTGTGGAACCCGATGGAAAACGAAGTAAATAATAATCATTATTAAAATAATTCTTTATGATAATTAATTTTTTTTTTAGCTCCATTTTTACGTCGCGGTTGGAAAGCATATTATGCTAATTTACGTGATATGGTTCTTTATTTACATAAAAATGATCAACAACCAACAACAATATTAATTAGTGATACCAATGCTATACGTTTACATCATGCATTTGCTCAAGAAGCTATTGATTATCGTAAAAGACAACATGTTTTTCGTTTAAAAACATCTGATTGGGCAGAATATTTATTTCAAACAACTGATCATGATTTAATGATTAAATGGATTGATACAATTAATTTAGTAGCAGCATCATTTTCTTCTCCACCATTACCTGCTGCTATTGATTCTGTATCATTACATTTTCAACGACCACTTTTACCAAGTGTACAAACACGTTATTCAGTTGTAAGTAGAACCTGTATGACCCGATCGAATCGTATTTTGATATTCCAGATGAAAATTTTTTAATCGACCTTGGACAGTCACTCCGAAGGTATGAGATACTTTCTTCCGGTTTTTTGTATTTGGCAATGAGCGCATTCTACACATTTCTCAGACAACTAGAACCTCTCGAGTTCAAAATTTTCAGATCCAGACCCGAGAGACTCTAGTTGTAAGTCAAATTTTTTTTTGAAAAAAAATTTTCGTTTTTTTTTTTCGAATTTAGTTTGAACAATATGAATTTATTATTCATCAAATCAATGATATAACAAAACAATTAAATGATATAAGAATTCAATCTTATGCAAATAATACAATTAATGGTGATACTAAACAAATAAAAGCATGTGATAAAATTGAAAATAAAGATAAAATTGAATATCTTCAATATGAAGTAAAAAAGCAATTCCTCCTTTTTTGTTTTTTTTGGTTTAAAAAAAAATATTTTCTTTTAGTTAGAACGATATGAAGCCTATGGTGATCGATTACGAAGACATTTTCAACAATTACAATTAGATCATTCATCTCTTAATATGAATATTAATGAAAATCAACAACATCATAGTTTTATTGGACCTATTGAACCATTATCAGGTGTAAATACTCCTCAACAATTATCATCATCAGTTACCTATAAAAAAAGTTCTCAATCAGCAAATATAGCATTAATTAATACTAATCGTTATAGTTATATGATGGCTGTTAATACAAATCCTTTAACAATAAAAGAACGTCGATTATAATTTTTTGTCTGATATGAAAAATAATTACATACCTTTCTTAGCACGAGTGTTTTTTTTACAGTGCGTTTTAGAACTGTTGTATATAAAGGTGTATGCACTTTTCTCTTGATTATTATTATTATTATTTTTTGTTTTTGTGAACATGCTCAATTCTTTTTTTCTTGTGTCTTTTCTATTCACGATCTTCTTCACTAGTCTTTTTTTTTTCTTATTTGTTTCTCTTATCGCGTGTGCATGTATGTATATGTTGCCTTTTTTATTTGCCAAATCCCGGTGGTGGATAGAAGAAAGGCAACTTTCGAGTTTTTGGCTCACAGAAATATTCAAAGTATACAGTTAGTGAATGGAGTTATAAAAAATTGATTAATTTAAATTTAAAATGATTAATAATTAAATTTTTTGGAGAATTTTATTGGTCTAGGAAATATTGATCGATGTAGAACGTTTTTTTATTGAGTTAACTATAATTTAAGTCATATAATGAGGAGAAAAGAAATAATCAATCATAGAAATAGTTAATCATATATATTCATTTGTACAAATAACTCACGAAAGAAAATACTTAACGATCTGGAATTTTTTTTCAATTAGAACTATAGAGAACATTAGCCAAGGTCAAATTTAATGGATCATAAAATGAAATATTTTCTAATGGAATGTGAAGTTTTTTACTTAATGTTTTTTTTTTAATTTTTACACATTCGATCTTCATACTTGAATAGTTTTCATTGTAATAAAATTTTGTACTTTGTGTCACGATGATTTAGAGAATGGCTAGTCGCTAGAAACTCGTTCAAACTTTATCAGAGAGATCGATGTCTTTCCAGACGATAGAAAGATTTTTGAATCTTCAATATGAATTTTCGTTCATCTTTCTACCAACGACAAAATGACTGCGAATCACATTTTTTTATGTAACTTTTGATAGAAACAAGATAGGAAGTTGCAGTTTCCGCCGTTGGAAAGCGGAGATAAAGAAGCATGGAAACGTATTTTACAAACTTTTCTAAATATGCTTTTTGAGTCTTTTAAAGTCCATTTTCCAAAAATGGGTAGGGAAAAAACAGTTTTTATCAAACAGAAAAAAAGAAAAAAAGTTTTATTTTTCACAGGAACTGTCAGAAAAATCGGCTTCTAGTTCCGAGTAGAATACTTATAACTCCTGAACGATTGAAGCTCAGAATCTGAGCGGTGCACAGTTTTATAGATATTCAATTGTCGCTTTCAATATATATCAGATAGTTGAAAATTCCTTGTAGTCATCTATCAAAAACGTTGTTTCACAAAAAGCTCAATTGAAAACTTTAGAAAAACCAAGTCAAAAAGTCTATAACATATGATTCAATGCGTCTTAATTTCCTCTTTCCAATAGTGAAAACCGCAGCTCTCTATCTTGTTTCTATCAAAAGTTACATAAAAAAATGTGATTCGCAGTCATTTTGTCGTTGGTAGTTTAGTAGGTTTCGCAAAATGCCGATGTGATCTATCTTTTACCCGAGATAATTTAAAGTCGTGAGCTAATTTGCAGTCAGCTGTTGTAAGTATGAGAGATAATGAAAACTTTCGACAGGAGTGGAACAATTCTGGATGAAATCACTTATCGTTCTTATGCTAATTGAAATTCCATGATCGAAATTTGAGATCGCTTCGCACCGCATCTATGTATTCCTTAGTGAATTTTCTTTTTTTTCATTTACTAGACATATGAATCTAAAGTTATCATGTTCTGTTTCGATGATTTCGAGAACGGATAGTCAGAAAATACGCAGATAGACGATTGTTTTACTGTCTTCTTCAAGCATCGAAGAAGGTAAAAGGTGTTTTGATAGCATGAATTTGTAGGAAATCTTTTTATTTTATCGGGAACTCTTAATAGCAGGAGTAAAAAACGCTTTTTCTAAATTCCATTTGCTATCTGCAATGACATGATACGTAAAAATTTTCTATATATTTAGTGAGATCTGCAGTTAGGCTGTTGCTAGAACTACGGTAAGCTTTTTACTTCTGTTATTCATAGCGTAACAAAAGTATATAACTTGAGAGACATAATTCGTTTTGATTTCAAATATAAGAGTTATCTACAAAAGAAGATTCCCTACAAATCCATGTTCTTAGAGCAAATTCCACCTTCTTCGATATATGAAAAAGACGGTACGATAACGTCTATCTGTGATTACTGTATACATAGGAGATAACTAAAACAATTTTCCAATACGAAACATCTATTGAAATAAAATATCTGATGCAGTATGTAGTGTTCTTGCTAGTAATCTATTAAACAACAAATATTGGCTGAACATTAAAGGACAAAATCGTCTTATGTCGTTTTTTTCTGTTGAGAATTTCTGGTATCGATCAAAAAAAACATACTTTTATCTTTTTAATCCTACTCAAAGGAGAGCTACGATGAAAAGTACTTCTTACGTAGAGCACAAATTATTCTATTGCGGGCGTACAGAATCTACCCGTGTGCGCGAACCGCTGTTCGGGGAAGTTTTTAAAAATTTAGTAGCATCGGGGAAAATCTTTGAAAATTTAATAGCATCTGAGAAAACTTTTCGATCAGTATCTTCTTTCATTGGGACAATTTTTCAATTTTTTCAACGAGTTCCGATTTATTTATATATACATCGATAAGACTTTTTACTTTTCTTTTGAATAAACTTCTAAAAGACTCATCTGTGTCTTTATCATAGTGTAGGTATCGCCTATCTTTGTTTACATTTATCATGCATCTTGCCATTTCTTTCACTCTGTCTCTTTGTGCCTATTCTTGATACAACACGCACTATTGGGTTTAGGACAGTGGGTCGCCGGACACTTGCTCGCTCTGACATTTGCTTGCTAGGATACTTGCTCGCTAGGGTACTTGCTCGTAAAAATGCTTCTAAGTCAATATATGTAGAGCGTGGGTTACGGTGTGGATGTGGGTCGTGTTCTGAATTCTCCCACATCCACCCCTACACCCTCGTGTGTATCTTTCTGGGATGTATGATTATTTTTTCTCTCTCCCTATTGATATAGATATGTCTCGTCTTAAGTACAATCAACTGAAAGCGAGAGTTACTTTGACTTGCACATTAGCTACCCTTGTTGGTGCTCGTGTTGATGGAGATTTAAAAAAAAACGTATATTTAGAAATTTTAGATCTATATTACGACCAGTAATGTCATAAAGGTCTTATAAAAAAAAGAATTCTGAAGTCTTCTCTATCAAGGAAAAAAACATTAGCCCCATAAAGTGGAACAGAGTGAAGATATTCAAATTTTTTATCATAAAGCTACTTATGGACAACCCTGTATAACCCTTTAACAATGCAAGTTAGAAATATCAGATTTGTGTAACTCAAAAGTGAACAATCTTCCTTATCGAATATATGCTTTAAAACTTAAATTTCAATGTTGCATCTCTCTAAATCCTAGCAGGTTTCTAAAGATCTACTGGAAGATCGTATAAAAATCAATCGAAAACAGCTTCTATGCTCTATTTTGATGTGCCTCGAATTTGACAACGAGATGAGGAAAATTATTTCGCAATATTTTGTCGAGTTCATGAGTTATTCAAGTTACTGTGATTTGTCTTCTATTTTGAAACGCATACTACTGCCCATTTCACAATAAACGGCACGTGGGTATTTTTTGAATAACTTTTGATAGAAACAAGATAGAGAGCTGCGATTTTCACCGTTGCAAAGAGGCTGATTCACCGCATCAACTCATATAAAATTGTTAAGGTTTATCTCAAAAATAGGTAGTGATCCATTGTCATCTTGAAGGATTAGACTATTGCTCTTTGAAGGTAGAACAAATCCTAAACTTTGAGGTGTACGCTAGAATCGCCAGCGCAAGAGCTACAAAACTGTATATAACGCTTGATTCAAAGCTTTACTGGTTTGGGACTTCTAGGTGCTATATTCGACAATTATAGTCCATTTTACCAGCGTTTTCTGTATAAAAAAGCTCAGTTTTTTTGAATTGTCTTCGTTTTTCCTGGAAAAATCAGGCCTGTTTTTAAGGCATTTTTTTGTTCAACTATTGCAAAAAGTTCCAAAAATCCAAGTTAAAAATCATTGTCTTATACAGTTCGATGCGTTTTCATCTGCTCTTTGCAACGGTGAAAACCGCAGCTCTCTATCTTGTTCCTATCAAAAGTTATTCAAAAAATACCCACGTGCCTTTTATTTTGAAATGGGCAGTAGGACATATATTTTCAATTCAATAGTTATGGAAGAATCTTTAACATATCATTTTAACATATCATTTCAAAATTGATCGATATACACTATATTTCTTGTATAGCAAAAATTTCCTAAATTGACTTCAATGTTTTCTATAAAGAGTGTCTAAGAAGTGCTGATATGATTTTAAAATTCATCATTCTTGCATTCAGCAAAAGTAAACTCTTTGCAATTTCTGATAGATTAGTGTATCTACTCTAGTACTAATTAAATACAAAGTTTCAGATCAATAGCTTTTAATAATATGGACGAGGAATTGTAATACCATTAACAGGTACCATCTTATGAATTTTTCAATGGCTTGAATCGATAAATTTCCTAATAGATCTTCAAATTTTATCAATGAATAGTAAGAGCTCAATCAGACCACAACGTAGTGATCATCATAAGAAAATGTATTTTACTGATGATAAATACGTAAAATCCATTTGAACTATTCTAGAAGAAAAAATAGCTAAAGAAGTAGATGAATTATGAAATGTAACTTTTTATGAAGACGAAGGGTACGAATGGATGTAGATTAGTGTCTTCTATTGACCCACATTCATACC